TCTCTCTCTCTCACACACACACACACACACACACACACACACACACACACACACACACACACACACACACACACACACACGGGGCTAGGATCGGGCTCGTACGAGCGAGCTATTCTCTCTTTTTGTGGTTGGATATGTCTTCTTGGTTTTGTTGATTATACACAGCCTAATTCTTTGCCCTGCTTTAGAGCATGAGTGTTGAGATGTTTACGGGTGGGCACGAGTTCTCTTTGGGGGAAGTTATGTTTTGTGGGCCGGCGGGGAAGGCTTTCCCAGTTTTTTGGGACCCTTAGCAGGGGGGGTCGGTGCGTTCTTGCTGGAGGAGTCTTCTGTCTTAGGTAAGTTGTCTCTTAACTTCTTCCTCCTCTTCGGAAGTGACGCGAGTGTGTAGTTTGAGATGAATGCCGGGAATGCCAATGCAGCAATGCTGTTATATTTGTTTGTTTTTGGTAAATGAGTTTTTGGTTTTGTGGGCTGATGCGGAAAGCTCTCCAAGTTTTTTCGGACCTTTGAGGGGGTCGGATCGGTGCCTTCTTGCTGGAGTAGTCTTCTGTCTATGGTAAGTTGCCTTCTGCCCTCCATCCCCTTATGGTTGGAAATATATATGTATACATATGTATATGTGCAAGTGTGCCGCTTTGGCGGCAGACGGGTGTGTGGGCACTTGGCGCTGAACCACACAAACGTGGCCAGCCTTGCAGTTTCTATTATTTGCCTATCTATACTTTTTCGTTATGGATGGCTTGTGATGATTTGTGAAGGGAGTGAGAGAGAGAATCTGGGGTCTTTTAAAACAACACACACACACACAGTGTCACACACCTTGCCGCTTGCTGCTTGCCTTCCTGTGTGGCTCCCTGCCCACCTCCCATGTGCCCTCCGGCCTATGTGCTTTATTGTTGCTCGCCATCAGTACCATGTGTTTTTTTTTTTTTTTTTTTTTTTTTTTTTTTTTTTTTTTTTTTTTTTTTTTTTTTTTTTTTTTTTTTTTTTTGTTTGTTTGAAAACATCTTTCGAGGCCAGGTCTACCACTCCCAGGGGGGTAAAAGCCTCTGGCAGTAGTAACCCCGAGGGTGGTAAAAGCCT